TGGACTACATGGGACACATAGAGTGATTTGGTCTGGTGTATATGTTCCTTAAGACAGTGCAATTGTCATAAGGATCACATTAGGCTTATTCTAAGAGCCGTAGTGCTTGGCTTCGTGGCTATGAGTAGCTACAAAGACCATCGCACTGACAGCGGCAGCCTTGGGGACCGAATTAGTGAGTGGCGGAGACGTCAGCTGATGAGCAGTGACCTCATTAAATTCAGCTGTGAGCTGTGAACGTCAAAACTGAAAAGTGAACAAAAAGTGAAAAGGGGAAAAGTGCTGGAGGCGAGGTTGGGGGTCGTATTAGCCTCTTCTGTGTGGGATGGCTCGCTACTAGTGACTGATTGGATGGCTGGTAAGAATTAAGGGTAGGGTTACCACTACCGGCTGGTTGGCTTGATGGTTAAGGTTTGAGTTAGCGTTAAGGCCAGCGGCAAGGATAACATTAGTGGCTGGTTGGCTTGAATGCATGGAATTTTGGACCAACCCGTCCTCCCCATTGCAGAACGCCGCCTTTACAGTTTCGGTCACTTTTAGTTTCTGGTGCTCACAGCGGCAGCATTTTGACCTCCCACTCCTTCACTCACGCCTGTCGCGTTCCCGAACACCTTGTGCGCAAAGCGCGCCGTCACCGCGCACCCGGCGCGCGTTCGCAACGTGAACCTTTCAACCTTCGCTCAAACCTCTCCGCTCGCCCGGCACACAACATATTGCCTTCTCTCACAGCCATCGACCTTCGTCCGTCCGACCTGTAACGGTTCATGGCCAGTGGTTCTCAACCTTTGTTGGCTACTGTGCTATCCCGATTGTTGAATTTAGTTTCAACCGAGTTACCCCCCTTGCCTGACCCAAGATGGTTCAGAGAAATGAATGAATGGTGGACGTCAATATTTTAATCAATTGCCCATTTTGTGGGGTATCCTAACTGCGAATAATACAAAAAAATCAACGGATACTCTGCACGCAAAGCGATAAATTCGTTCGCGATCACTGGATACTCTTGGTAACCACGTTATTTACGATCAGTCAGTTTAGAAATGTATTTTATATAGTTCTAGGTTACCATATGAATTTTAATTTAATCGTAGTTATTTTACATTGGTAGATTCATACGTGATTACGCACCAATGACTCTCACGTCCGATATAATTTCACGCATTTAGAAATGACCTCACGTACCCCCTGGGACATTGCCACGTGCCCCCAGGGGCCCACGTGCCCCCGGTTGAGAACCACTGGATGATGGGGATCGCGGGGAAAAGTTAGCGGACAACGCGGGGGAGACACAGCGGGGGGGGGGGGGGGGGGCACAGCGGGGGGGGAGGGCACAGCGGGGGGGGCACAGCAGGGCTGCGTTCCTGCCTTGTGCTGCTCTTCAGGAAGGGAAGCAGTTTGCGAGCGTGTTCTAAACGAGAAGCAAAATGCACGCGAAGCACGCTGGTGTCGTGCTCGCAGCTCGCGGGAGGCTACGCAGCAGTCTCTACAAATAAGCCGTGCACAACTTGTGAAGAAGATTTGCGAGCGGGTGGTTAATAGCGATTAGAAAAGCATAACGCCGTCACGTCATCATCTTCACGCCGTAATAAACGTTCAATGGCGTTCATCTCTGCGGTGTATGCTTGGCCAAAGAAAGACATTTCACATTGGTACGGCGGGGCCTGGCATATGCTTACTAAATATAACTACCACTGACTTTTAACCAAGCAATTCAGCCTCAAAAAGGTGGTTCGTCTTTTGACTGACCACAGCGAGTTGATCCATGCGCTAGCTTGAGTAGCGTGACTAATACTGCTCAGTCAGTGATCAGCGAGATGACGATGATGATGATGATGTCAATTATTTACCCAGAAACACCTCGGTGAGTCTCAAGACTTCTTCAGCAAGGTCCGCCATTGCGATGTTTTGGCCAGTTCCTGTCGCTGCGAGTTTGCCTTCACGTGGGGAACTGGACAGACCGGGGGAGAGACCACCCAGCGTGCACAGCAGGGGGTTGACCCTCATCACTGCCGCCTCCTGTCCACCTGACAACCCCGTGCCTACAACACCTGGCAAGCCCCCTCGTGGTGGCCGCCCTTGAGACCACTCAACGGGTTCAAGCCTCTGCTCCGCTTCTGAGATCGAACGTGTTCAGGCGCATGCGTAGTTCTGACGAGATATGAAAACAGCTGATTTAATCACGATGATGGTGTATGTAAAAACTCACTTCATGAAAAAGGCTACACGATTGAGAGGTCACAATTTGTAAAATTGAGAAATGATTGCCGTTAAACACAGGAAGGGGGGGGGGGGACATCCACTACTGCTGACATAAAACAAGTGACAGGCTAGTCGGGCTGTGAACGATTAAGGGGCTAACGACGCTTCAACCCATCGATTAAGATCGATTCTTGAGCTCACCCGCACATGATATGGTTAATTCGATCTCTTCAGCCATGGATAACGAAGGGGGTGGGGGGAGCTGACCCATAACACACCTGATAATGATGGTAAGAATAATAACACTACTGTAATGATATCCCATGATCTATATATTAAAGTTAATTGATATCCCGGTCAAAGGATAACAAGCACGCGGGTTCATCTGCGGAGACGATTGGTGATGTTGCGGGCGCTGTGTAGAATGTAGGTACTGTGTGGCTATTGTTGTTATCTATCTAAGGAACACGTCCACGAACTCTACAATCTCCACGTGGGCACACGCGTGTGGTGATAGAGGGAGACACTCGAAGTTAAAGACGAAAAGTCAGGTAGAGCTGCAGCAACCAGCCAATGATTCAAACAATCAATTACTCAATCAAATATTGTTCTGACTGATATTATTTTAAAAGTCGCATTAAAATGTGCACATCATTTGCATAAATACATGTCGTACATTCATTTAAATCCCTGCACTAAGATCACGTGGTTGGAGCTTTGTGTGCAGATATTTTTTATTTACACGTTATCATTATCCCCCATCATGATGTCATGATCTCCCCCATAATGACATAATTGTCACCGATGCCAATGATTATGTCATCTCTCTCTACCAATCGTCATCGCGGTGCCACGCCAGGCATGTTGAGCGTCACTCGCCCGGCTGGCAATGAATCGATTATAAAAATAAATATTTTTTTGTTGTTGTTAAATAATATACTTTTTTGCTTGTAAAGAACAGCTGTCAAGGGGAGGGCACATCCCATCGAATTTGTACTTGGGAAAATAAAAAAATAAACCTCCACGGCTTAAGCCACACAATCTCAGCTGCTGCTGCCGCTGTGTGATTATATCACCGGTAGAACAGAAACGTTCACGAATCGCAAGGGCGCTGGTGTTGTCGGTCGCTCGCAAGGCGTGTAGCTCACGCTACGCGAGACACACAAGCAAAGGGACGAGATTCAACGGTTCACAAATAAATATTTCAACCGCTGGAAAAAAAAAGAAGATATCATGCCGTACGTAAATGGCGAGAAAGCAGAATTTTCCTTAAATCTGCAAACTCCAGTTGCGTTTGTTTAAATAGCCGACACACAGTGGGTGGCCAATGTCTGCTTTCCAAAGGCACTAAAGAGGTCACAGCTGAGACGGCTCGCCTACCCCTGCCAGCCACCGCCACCTCCAGCACCAAATGCAAACACAACAGGGCCCCCCGGAGCGGCCGAATCTGTCACGAGGTCGACCGTTACAACGTCTGCGACGTCGATGATGGTCGACGCATCCGAGCAACCGGCGGTCGCGTTGCACGCCGACGCTTCGATTTCTCCGATATAACCGTGGCCGAGCGATTCGTTTTCTGCTCAATTTCTACTCGGCCTCTTCGACGGCAGGCAGGAGGCGCGCGAAGCGTTTCGGCGGCCCACGCTCTCGTCACGGAAGGGGGCGGCAGGGCGGGACTCTCGTTTTCCGTGCGATTATTGGGAGGTGATCGGTGGATACGGGCGGGGGGGGGGAAACGACTTTCCCAGTCAACCCCCCTCCCCACCACCTTATCTCTCTCGTACCTAAACCCAGACAACTGACGGCTTCGTCTTTATACGTGGCCGCGATTGTGCAGCCGGGTACGTCGAAGGCAACTTTTAACAAAAGGCCGAGATGTGACGACGCTTTTGCGAGCGGTGCATCGGTCGTCGATTGAAGGCGACGCCGAGGCGAGAGGCAACTTCATTGTGTGGCAGCACTCCAGCGGCCCGGACTAACGGCACAAATGTTTCTAATATCTTTTATCGGCGTGCACTCGCACCCTGGAAAACTAAGTGCAATGCGGAAGCCGCATTAATTAGGTAGTATTAAAAAAAAATAACAATCCCAAGTTTACAAACAAACTCATGCTGCTGGCACTATATCGTAGCAAAATTGTGGTGCAGCTTCACGTTGTATCATTGAAATTCGCTACGGGTTAGCTAAGCGGGATGTAACGATTGTTGGGAAGCTACGCGGGATGCAACGATTGTGGGTATGCTACGTGGGATGTAACGATCACGGGGAATCGTTACATCCCTCCCACTACCACGCTGAACGAGCCCCCCTCCCCTCATCTCTATGAGCGGCACTCAATTGTAGTACTGGGGTTCAGCAAGGGGCCCCCACACCTGGCGCTGGAGGCCCAGGTTACGCACGCTGAACGTCGGCCGCGGCTTTGCCAACCGGGGGGCCCTGACGTGCAACACCGCCGACGCCACCGCGGCCTCCTCCTCGTGGCCCCACGAGGGCGGCGGAGTCGGCAGCGCCGACGCCGCGAACGCGCCGAGCGACGACGGAGGAGCGGAAGGAGGAGCGGAAGGAGGAGCGGAAGGAGGAGCGCCGCGGGCGGAGACGGGCGCCGGCCCCCACGGCAGCGTCGCCGCTCGCCGCGTCACGGCGCCGATCGCCGAGGCGGCCGAGGCGGCCGCGGCCGTCTCGGCGACGGGGGCCGCGGGGCGAGACCCGGGGGCCGCCGTTGGCAGGGAGGGCCGGGCTATCGCCTCTGGGTCGTACACGAACATGGCCGATTTGAGCTGGTAAGCCGGCCGGCGCATCACCTCCTTGGCCGACATGGGCTTGCTTCCTTTCTTGCCCTTGCCGCCCGTGCCGCCCGTGCCGCCGCCCAGCTTGTGCTGCTGCTGCTTGCCCCAGGAGGGTGGCGGTGGCGTGCGCACGGTGGACGTGGGCAACCAGGACGGGGGCAGCGAGGATGGCGACGAGGGCGTGGGAGCCCGCCGGGGGCTGTCCACCACGTAGTTCTCCATGCGGCTGCGGCGACGCGCAAACAGCTCCCCGCCTTTACCCTGTGGCACGGGTGGGGGGGGGGGGGGGGTGCCGAGGTGGGGGCACGCCAGTTATCGGTTGACCGTGTTTAGCGGGTTCGCTCGTGGGTTGATGGACGGGCGAATAGTTAATTGGCGTGGGGAGGTCGTCGGTGGGTGGGCGGATGACTAGCTAAGTGGAAGGTTGGGGTGTGTTGAGTAGGTAGTTAGTTAATTGGGTTGGTGGTTAGGCAGGCGGGCAGGTCGGTGGCTAGGCAGGTCATTGGGTGATTAGCTCGGTAAGTATTAAACTGGGTAGATAGGTGGTAGGTCATTAGTTTGGCAGGCAGGTGGCAGCATTTTTAAGAAGGTAGGTGGGTAGTTATGTTGATCGGTCTTTAAATGTGTGAGTAGGTAAATATTTAATTGGCTCAGTTGATAGATTAGTAAGTTTGGTAAGTAGGTAATTAGGAAGGTCATTTGGTACATGGTTGGGTGATTTATATATTTTTTTAATATTTAACCAGTCCAAATTTCTAATTAAAGCTTTTCACACTCAGTCTCTAGAAACACTTGTTAAAGATGCCAGAGCATTTTCAATATTTGCCAATACCATTATACTAACATAACTACAACTATGACAAAAATATACTTCTTGAGATGGCCAAATTCACTGGAAATTGAAATGTTAACTCAAAGAGCAGTCCTGTCTGTCTGACACTGCGTGAATTCACAGCGCGAGCTGTGGCACTGACACGCTTAGCGGCGTTGCGTGATTGGCATCGGCGTTTTGGTGCCATGAATGAGGTGGGAGTCCCTTCCTGTCCAATTTCCATCCCCCACACCCCATTCCTCTCGGCAGCCCTGGCACTTAGAGCCCCTCCAGCCCACCAAAACCTCGTGGCAGTTCCACCGCCTGTACGCTCGGTAGCCGCACCCCAACCCTATCGGCGCGTCGCTGACTTTGCGGTGACTTCCCGGCGGCTTCCCGGCGAACAGGCACGCGCGTGCGCACGCGCGACGAGTCGATCTAAGCGTGCGCGACGGCGGGGCGGGGAGCGTCGGCGTCGCGCATTGCCTGCAAGGTCGGGACGCCCGGCTCGCTGGCCGTGTGCAGGGGGCAGGGCGAGGGTGTGTGGCGGAGGAACAGGACGCTCTCCTGGGGCTCCTCCACAGGGCTCGACGGCTTGCTGCCACCCGACGACGGCTTGGGAGCGATGGGCGGCGGCGTCTTCTCTTTGGCGCCGCCGCCACCGCCGCCGCCAAAGACGACGGTGCCGGTGGCCGTGGCCGTGGCGACGCCAGATCCGGACCGCAGGAAGTTGGACGCCTCGGCGCCGAGGCTCAGGGAGTCGTCCTCGGGGCCGGACTCGAACCGCCCGTCCAGACCCTGCACCAGGGAGAGCAGCTCCGGGTTTGGCCGCTGCTTCTCCTTGGGGGGCTCCGGGATGGAGAAGAGGCGCTGCTTAGGGCGTCTCTGTGCCTGCTGCGTGCGGAGACGGGTGAAGAGAGAGAGAGAGACACGGTCAGGTAAACAACTAGCGGCTAGAACTCGTCCGAACCATAACCCATAATCGCAGCCAATTTTGTCAACCGGACACTGGTATTTGCCTTAACCAAAACCATCTCTAATCATAACTATCCAACCGCCCATGAATACTAGTCTTCTCACCGAACCAACTTGCCCACCGTACCGAACCTTGACCGCTAACTCTCACCTTAGCCCCTCTCTTGGCTTCTCACCTGGCCCCATTCTCACTTTTTCTTTTAACTTTTGGACATTTTCAGCTCCAGCCCTGGGGTAGGTGGCCACCTTGTCCACAGAGCCAACCCGGACGGAAGTGTCAGTCAGCCTAGGGCCTATCAACAAACACTGTGCAGAATAACTGTGACTAAGCGCGACACGACACCGGTACCAGATCTTGGCACAAATCAATTCCTTGCCGCCCAAACACAGAGATGCCAAAACTTGGACCGGTGGCAACCATATCCCTCTCCCCACCCCCATGCACCCCATCAACCACAACCACAGCGAGCTCCTCTACCTGGAGCACGCCGGTGCGCACCGCCGGCGTGGAGATCCTTTGCTCCCTCGAGGGGAGAACCTCGGCCCCGGCGCTTGCCGAGCCGTGCGGCGCCGCCGACGCCACCGGCTGGGCAAAGGTGCTCGGCGCTTCCTCCACCATCACCGGCATCGCCGCCACCGCCGCCACGGCTGCCGCTCCCTGAGCGCCGCGACCCGAGACCGCGAACGCCTGGGCGGTGCGGTTGACCGCCACGGCTGCTGGCGACGATAACGATGGCTGCAGCTGCTGATGGTGATGCTGCTGCTGATGGTGCTGCTGCTGCTGCTGGGGCGACTTGGGAGAGAAGCTCACGCGGTTGAACGGCGCCGAGGCTGGGCGCTGGCTGCCGTACCCCTCCGCCACGGGGGTGAACGGCCGCGCGCTCCGATTCTGCACGCCCGACTGCTGCTGTTGGTACTGCTGCTGTTCGTACTGCTGTTGGTACTGCTGCTGCTGCTGGTACTGCTGCTGCTGCTGCTGCTCACCCAGCTGCTGCTGCTGGGCAGGTTGCGCCGCGTGCCCCGGCTCCCCCCCGGGCCCGGAGTAGTTGAACGCGATGGTCACCGGCGCCGCTGCCGTGGTCACGCTGACCCCGTGACCCCGGGTCGGGGCCGGAGGGAGCTGCACGCTGGAGGAGAAGGTGCGAGACTGGGGGGGCTGCACTGGGCTGTACGAGGGGGGGGCGTGCGGGGGTGCACCCTGAAGCGCTGTGTGTACGTGCGTGTGTGTGTATGTGGGTGTGTGCGGGCGTATGTACATGCGCGTGGGAGAGACACATGGACAAGTCAATCGATTTCTGCGTGTACACGCATTGATTCACTGTGTATATTTAAAGTAAAAAAATAAATAGACAATTTATATTTTGTTACATTATATATCATTGAACTTTTAGTTTAACATTGACCCGATGCTACACAGTGCACTTGAACTCTTAAAACAAAAGTAACTTTTTTTTATCTTTTTTTTCTGTCTTTTAACCAAAAAATCTACTCGCAACTCTCACAGTGCTGAGCAAACGATGAAAAGTACGCGATGCAGCACGGAGAGATGCAAGCTCAGAATCGCACTGAGATGAAGGAAGAGGAGCAAAGTGATCAGGAACAACTCAATTCACACGCCCGTTGAGACAACGCACATCAGGAGATGGGACAAAGGTCAACAGATGAGAGCGGTAACAGAACGTCTGCTAAAGGAGGGAACATGCCGGAGAGAATGGCCACCGTGGAAATGGAGTGAGAAGGCGAGGGCAGGAATGAAATGGATTGTGGCATGGCGGGACTGTGAGGAATGGTGGTGGTGACAGCAGTGGACAACCCACGGCTGATGAATGATGAGTGATGAAATGATGACAATGAAGTTGAAAACAAAAACTAAAATTACCATCCGCTTGATGGCCCGCCGCGTGGCCGAGAGAATTTCCAGGGTTCTGCGCCTCGCCTGCTCCCCCCGCTCCCCCGGGGTTCTCGCGCCTGCCCTCCGCCGCTCGCTCCTCCCTCGACAGCTCCTCCACGCGCTGCCTCCTCCGCTCAAACAGCAGCGCGCCCTTGCCCTTGCCCAGCTCGGGGAGGCTGTCGCGACCCCCCCTGCCGTGGTGACCCTCGGCGCCGGCGCTCTCCCAGTCGGACGAGACGGCGTCCCACGCGTTGGGCCGTCCCTCCGTGCCCTCGGTCCGCGCCCACTCCTCGTCCTCCTCCTCCTCCTCTTCATCGTCCTCGTCCTCGTCGTAGTCCTCACCCGACGCGCCGGGAGGCTCGCCGCCCTCGCCGTCCGACGCCATGCCGTAGCTGACGAGGGTGTAGCGCTTGACGCGCTGCCGGCGTCGGCGGAACATGAGGATGCCGCGCGAGTCCGGGCGGGGGCTGCCGGGGTCGGCGCTGGGCGCGCGCGGCACCGGCGAGGCGAGGGAGTGGGCGATGTTCTGGCACCGCCGGCGCACCTCCTTCTGCTGCTTCTCCACCAGGCTCTCGCCGCGGTTCAGTCCTAAGTGAGCTGGGGAGCGGTGGTGCAGCGGTTAGCGCTGCTACGGTCAGCGCGCTGCCTTACGAAATCCGGCGGCCCGCGCTCGATTCCCGGCCACGGTCAACGTCGGTGACGATTGTCTGAACCGGTCCTGGCTCTCCCCTAGGTCTACTCAGCTTCAAATGAGTACCTGGTGCGGTGTGTAAGCGTCGCCACTCAGGAGACCAAGGCAGATATTCGTGGCGCTGGCCACCCACCCCCTCGTGTGCCGTTCCGACCTTCTTAGGTGCTCGCTAACAGCACTTGCACCACAACTATGTTCAGGCTATTGGGGAGATCTTTTGTCTCCGTATGAGTGTTAGTGTAAGTAAGAGTGTGTGAATTGTAGTGTGCGTTCGCGTATGTGTGCTGGTGTGTGATGTGAGTGATTGCATTCGCGCATGAGTAATGAGGTGGGCGTTTAGTGCACATTCCCTCGCAGCAGTTTGACAGACACAGAGCAGCGTGACACAAGCAGCATAGACAAGATGCAAGCCCGTGACCAAATCACCTGGCATCAGCCTGATCTCGGCAGATCCCAGAAGCTAAGCCGGCATGAGCCTGGATAGTGCTTAGTCACCGTGCATGCCAGGCTGACATTGGCAGTTGCGGAGCTGGGCCACTTTGTGATCAGCCGAGGCCAACCCCGTCAAACCAATTGACGTGACAGTAAAACTTCTCTGATCCCGCGTCTACGCTCCCAATCAGGCTGCTCAGGGCCCACGCGGCTTGGGGAGGCCCTAAGTCAGCAGTGCGTCGCCCCGAGGGCTGTGACGTCACACAATGACGCGCGTGTACGTCACAGGCAGCGCGGCGGTCTCAGCGGGCGTTCAATTCACAACCGCCACGCTGGCGAGACGCTTCCCGCACGCTGGTGCAAGACAAAGACAAAGATCCCCCGTGAAGCCTCAACAGACGGTTGGGGCGAGTGCTGTTAACGAGTGCCTATGAAGGCCGGCACGGCACACGAGGGGGTGGGTGGCCAATATCACGCTCTCGCGCCTTCGTCTCCCGAGTGGCAATGTTTTTATACGCTGCACCAGGTACTCATTTGAGGCTGAGTCGACCTAGGGGAGGCCCAGGACCGGTTCAGATAATCGTCACTGGTGTTGGCCGTGAGCAGGAATCGAACTCGGGTCGCCGGGTTCGTAGCGCGGCGTGCCCACCGCCACACTGCCGCTACCCAACACACGCAGATACACACGCAGACACGCACGCAGACACGCAGACAGACACGCACGCAGACACGCAAGCAGACACACACACAGACACGCACGCAAACACGCACGCAAACACACACACAGACACGCACGCAGACACGCACGCAGACACACACAGACACGCACACAGACACGCACGCAGACACGCACGCAGACACGCACGCAAACACACACACAGACACGCACGCAGACACGCAGGCAGACACACACACAGACACGCACGCAGACACGCACGCAAACACACACGCAGACAAGCACGCAGACACACACGCAGACACGCACGCAGACACGCACGCAGACACGCACGCAGACACACACACAGATACGCACGCAGACACACACGCAGACACGCACGCAGACACACACGCAGACACGCACGCAGACACACACGCAGACACGCACGCAGACACGCACGCAGACACACACACAGACACGCACACAGACGCATCACAGCGATAATTAACGGCGCTAACGCTGACCCCTGTCGTAATGGCGGCAGGGGATTGATATGAGAACGGGATAAGAATAGAGAGCCCTTACTCATGCCTGGATGTCAGCCTATTAATACACATCCTGTGACATGCCCGCCAAGGCGTGCGTGCTGGCTGACATCCAGGTGTAACGCTTTGGGACAACGCGTGTTCAGATGGCGTAACAATGGGAATGTCACCTTGATCTGCAAAGCATGCTGGGGAGATCCGTTGTGTTTTGCCTGTTAAAGGCATGTATTTGTGTATGCATGTATGTATAAGCCATGCTTTTGCGACCAATATCATCCATAATAGAGGTTTTTTTTGGGTTAGATCGCGTAAATATATATAAACGTGTCGTTAAAACCCGCCACCACCCGACACAGCCAACTAGTAAGGGTTGTCACGTAAATGGAACATCTGTACTCAGATTGTAAATGTTGTGGCTTGGCTCTCCAACACACCGGTGTGCTGTACTAGTGACGAATTGGCCACGTTCTGTTTACGTGACAAACCTTACTAGTTGGCTGTGTCGGGTGGTGGCGGGTTTTAACGACACGTTTATATATTTACGCGATCTAACCCAAATAAACCTCTATTATGGATAAGCCATGCTCTTTGGTAATTGCAAAACCAGCTATGGCTTGCTGGTGAGTACCAAGAGCACGAAGCTGATCCAAACCTGACAATATTAATGTCTTTTTGGTATGCTTCAGAACGCCAATTGGTAGTCTAAGTTGATTGGCATCTTGGGAAATTTTTTTACGAAATAATAATATATGCAGACAATCAAGACTGATGTAAATTCTAAATATATTATAAGATGGTTAGGAATCTGAAATTTGGCACTTATATGAAATTTAATCTGCACACATAATTAGAAATATGAAAAATATAATGTATGAAATGTGGGATCCCAAAAATACGTACCTAATTGGTCCATGGAAATGGGACAAAGTGGGTGGCATTAGACAGTGCCCCCCCCCCCTTATTTCTATCCTTGCACCAGGACCCGTATCAACCACGCCACTGCCCCCACCCAACCCCCCCTTCACATTATATATATATCAAACATTTTAACGGATACGGCCCACTGAGCTATATAGTAGCTCTTTTTTAGAAGCAACCTGACCATCACAAATGATCGCTCAACGAAGTGGCTTATCACGTGGACATTTATAGCAGCAGCCAAACACTTTGAACGAGTGGCGTCGATTCTAAATGTGGAGGGAAAAAAACGGAGGACCCGGAGAAAAATCCACTCGAGCACGGGGAGAGCGTGCAAACTCCAAGTATACAGCAGCAGGCGTCACGGTCGGGATCGAACCTACGACCTCCTGTACACCAGGCGAGGTCGTTAACATCCCGGCAAATGTGGCGCCCCGATCAACTTTTGGTGGGGAAAAATAATAACAATATTGACCATGTCAGTGAACATCGGCCCCCTCCGCCCCCCTGCCCCTCCCCCAACCACCCCCCCTCCCCGCCCGCCCCCCCTCCCACACGCACTCGCTTGCTTCGCCTTCTCCTTGTACGTGGCGATGAGCTCCTCCTCGTCCACGATGGCCACGTTGCGCAGGGGGTCCACCTCCCTGGTGGCGGCGCCGCCTGGCCCACGCACGGCCAAGTTGAGGGTGAACGCCAGCGCCGCCTGCCCGTCCTGTGCCGCCGGGGCCGCCGCATCAGCGGCGTCGTCGGCGGCGTCACCCCCCCCGTGACCCCCCGAACCCTCGCCGTCCCCCGCGTCGCCCTCCTGGCCGCCGTTGAGGACGATGTGCAGGGAGCTCTGCTTCGGCGGGGCGGCGCTTCCGTTCACGACGTGGCCACCGGACCCCGACGTTCCGTTCACCACCGCCTGCTTCAGGTGCTGCTGCTGCTGCTGCTGGTGGTGGTAGTGGACGAGCTCGGACGTCGAGTCGTACTCGCTGAGGTCCGACACTTCGACGCCGTCCGCGTGGTAGAGCCCCGTGTCGCCGGACGCGGGGCCGGACGAGGAGGCGAACGAGGTGAACGAGGGCTGCTGCTGCTGCTGTTGCTGCTGCTGCTGTTGTTGCTGCTGCTGCTGCTGGGTGGGGGAGGACCGGGGGCTGCGGCGGTGGCCCCACGGGCGGTGCGACGAGGCCCAGCCCGGGTCCGTGTTGGCGTCGCTGTCCGTTTCGCCGAAGTAGGCATCGCTGTCCGAGGCCGAGGTGAGCTCCTGGTAGCTGGACGCGCGGAGACGGTGGCCGCCCTCGGCCTCGGTGAGGTTCCTGCATCTGTGGGCGCGCATCGAGAGGCGTCGGGAGCCGCGCGTTAGCGGGGGTTAGATCGGCTGCGTGCGTGTAATGTGGGGAGCGGTGGCGCAGTCGTTGCTGCTTTCACTCTTTTTTTTCTAGACTTTCGTGAAGGGTTTGGGGTAGGTTAGGTTTAGGTTGGGGTGCTTGTCTTAAAAATGTATATCAGCGTTATCTTAATGATGTGCCCCCCCCCCGCCCCCCACGCCCCCCTCCCCCCGGCCCCCCCTCCCCCCGCACCTGCCCACAAGGATGTCCAGGGAGCCACCGCCGGCGTCCACGAGGTTCATGGCCTGGGTGTGCGTGAGGCCCGCGCACGGGTTGCCGTTGATGGCCACCACCTCGTCTCGCTCGCACATGCCGGCTCGCGACGCCGCGCTCCGCTTGCGCATCTTCAGCACGGACGGGTGGAGGGGTGGGGGGGGTGAGTGGGCACAAGGGGGAGCAGAAGAGCCTCAGGGAGTAAGTATGTATGCATTCGGTTGTTTATCCACTTTCTTGCCGTTGAATTGTATCGCATAGCCAAATCGCAGTAAGTGTAACAGTTCATCAGATGACAAGATCAGTAGCAACATAACGATCGAGGGTTGTCTTGGAAAACCTTGAACATAAGAGTAATTCCTGCAGTCACGAAAGCCCCAAATCAAGTTCAAACTTGAATATATAGTTCAAAAACAACCTATGCTTGCGTCCCCGCAGATGACTGCACAGTGTACTCAAAATGTTTTTTTTTCATCCACTTAAATCCACGCGCTCTCAACAAAAGCTCTCTGGACAATGAGAGGTTGTCGGGTTATCACGTGTTTTGTCTCAGACACGGCCTCAATTCTCCCATCCTCAGCTCAGAATCAAGTTCAGGTGCCACTCGCCACTGACGTGAGCCGTGGCCGGGAATGAAACTCGTGGCGCGGCGCCGCTAACTGCTTCGCCACTGTGCCCCCAAAGAGGAAAAGAGAATCTTCTTGGTTCTTTCGTTAAAGTCACGTAGAATGTAAATAATAAAATAATAAAAATAAAACATATTAAAATCATTCTCACGACGTTTCGGCCACAACGCAAGGAGCCGTCCTCAGGTGGAGAACAGGTCTGTCGAGAAGACAGAGTCTGAATGACACACAGCAGGCTTGGAGCGTCTATTTAAGCTGGGATGGAGGAGGAAGAACGCCTTGACAAAATAATTTGCATATCAAGAGGAATTTAGCATATTTATGGGAAATGCAGATATGCGATTAGTACTACTTGTGAAATGCGTAGGAGGTTTGGCGGGGGGTTTAAAGTCATATTATGCCCATGCATTATGCAGGATTAGCAGCATCAAAGGGAGGGGATAGGGGTAACATTAATAAAGGGAAGGAATGTTAATAGTATGTAGCTGCAGTAACTAAAGGAAAAGAGAAGTAACATTACAATCCAAACCGTGAGTCACCACCCCTCTGGGGTTGTCTTCGTGCATTCGTGGGAACTGTTTTTGAAGTTTTGGAGGCCAGGGAGCCAATTGGGGTTCATTTTGAGGAGCTCAGAGGCGCGTGAAAACTCGACTTTGAGAGGGCGACATGTTCCTTGTTCCTCATGTCTCACGTTTGGGTGGCAGGGGTCGTGGTGGCGTGGCTGTGGGGAAGGTGGAGGGGGTTAAGCTGCCCTCTTTCACCCATTTTATTGCCATGTCCATGACCCCCCATCGTCATTCGGAGGAGGTCAGGACTCAGGCCGGTAGTAAATAAAGGAAAGCGTCGTGTCATTTGAGGAGTTACGTTGTGGGTAACAGAGGCCAGAGCAGTAAAATGTTATTGCACTGAACCTCTATACTACCCCGTGTACGCTCCCCGCCTTCACCAATCCACACTGACTGGCGAGGTATAGCATGTTTGGACATTCTGACCCGCCCCTCCTGGACATCTGTGAAAAAGAAGAGCTTCATAGCTCATCGGATTTATCCTGCAGTCTAAATAAAGACACTGATTCTGTATAGCAAAACACCCATGGCTGGCACGGTGTGGGGAGGCCTTCATCCAGCAGCGGATCGACAAAGGACTGTACACTGGCAGTCTATTTAGAGATACTGCACTGCTCATTGTGATTGTTATATATATCTTGAATTGAGCTGCAATTAGGTCGACTCAGCCCAAATCGGGGTGTTCGGTGTTGGCCACGCCACCCGTTCGTGTGCTGTGTCGGCCTTCAGGGCACGCTTGTCCTCATGTGTGCTCAATAAGCGTGGCCAAGTGGGAGAGAATTGCGCTTGACGATGCGTGGTTAGTGCTTGTTGACATCCTGCATTCGTATTGGGCATTCAGCAGCCCAGGCAGGGTGGCGAGGTTAACTTAGGTGCTGCCGCTGTTCACTTTGAAAGTTTCGTCCAGAAATGACCTTGAAATTTCTCTCTAGCCCCCCCCCCCCCCCCGTTCTCTCTGGACCCTCCCTTTCCCAGCCACTATAGATCATCCCCCAGTGGGAAATGTAATCTGAAACACCAAGGTTATTGACAGAATGGGCAACATTTAAAAATTATATATTAAAAGGCTTTCCGGTGAAGGACTTTTCCCAAGGCTTGGGTGGAACCACCGTTTTAGATCGGCGTCTGATTTTACGATCACAGCCTCCGACCGCTCCTTTCCTGAGGAGGTGAGGGGCTGGAGCAACCCGCCCATGAAAACTCTGGCGAGCGATTAGAGCCACGTGCAAAGGCTTGGCACGTCTCGAAGGTGCAGATCCCCGCTGTGCAGTAAGCAGCCGGCGAGGGGTGGCCGGGTTGGTTCAGAGGTCAGTGAGAGTCGAGTTGGCAACACTGACACCTGAAGATGGAAGCTTGTGTTGCCTCCGAAACGTCGTGATTTTTATTTTTATTTTACTTTTATTAATTTTAATTTGAAGACCTACGTGACTTTACCGAAAAAACCTAAGAATATGAAACGAGGCTTTAGCTTGTCGTCTCCAAACTGGGCTTGCAACTGGAGCGAGGTGATGGTCACCGGTTACTGTACAAAAGCGGAATTATGTTCAACGTTTATTTTTTGTCTCGCTTACTTAAACTGGCAACAACAAAAAATCAAGTTCTGAATAAAACGTTACAAATATCACAATGACCATTTGACTGCCGTATCGGGAACATTTATCTGTAGGTGGCTGTGTGGGAAAGTGAGTCCGCCCCTCACGTGTGGAGGGGCAGACTTAAAAAGAGATCTCAGAAGTAGTTTTGTGACATCACCTTCCACGGGTCGTTTTGAACGCTCCTCGCGGGGTGATGCACCACTGGACTGGTGGCGTCATCTCACGACGTCACGCGAATGCGCAGAAGTGGAATGCAAGTGCAGAACACAAATATAATTGTTGCAAAAAAAGTACACGGTGCCATTTTAATACGTGCACTTAGTCAATTGTTTTCTTCATTACCCACCACGTGAATGTGGAATTTCCGGCTGAGAAGAGTAAGCGTGAGATGAAAACTCGTTTCTTTAGAACTGCTCTATGTGTGCGCAGTTGGCTACGTACGGCGCGAAAGAAGTTCAACACACACATACAACACTCCAAACTCCGTCCCGGCTGGAAACCACTTCAAATCGTTTTGGCTTTTCAATCGTGACACGCCATCCCGCTGTATTCATGGAGTTCGCTGTTTTTTTCCCGATGCGTCTAATCTGATGCGACGCGCAGACGGAATGGAATGTCGACGCTTTTCGCGGCGCAGATGAAGATGACTAACGGTCGTGCACCATGTGTGCTCTTGTGAACACAACAGAGAGAGAGAGAGCCACGGAGGGTTGGCGTGACACCTGCACGTGTCTGCCACACGTTAACGAATAACAGAAGTGTGGCGGTGGGGGGTGGAGTCGGGGGGAAGGTGGCGGGGCACACCTGTGAAGCGGCCTTTTGGAGGCAAGGGTTGGTGGATCAACAGACTCTTGAAGCCACGCGTGACAACATTGCATCGTATTGCAGTCAAGCGCACGTGTTACACTCCGTGCACGTACATCACTTTTGTCAATCCACGACTGGATGGATGGTGGCCTCCCCACGCTGACGGCAGTGTACACCAACGACAGGCGTCCACAATCTACAACCTGTGCGGCGTGATCCAGAACCGGCTTTCCACGCCACCCGCGCTGCGTGCCAGGTGGAGTGACGGGGTGACTTGAGGGCCGCGAGGAAACCGCTGCCGTAGCCTGAACTCGAATGGCCCCGCTGAATGAGGCTGAATGAAGGAAAGCGTTACCCACGCCTGCAACGTCTTGGCATGCGGCGACGTTCAACGAATCATTTCCTCCGTCCTCAATTGTCCACGTTAGGAAAATTCTTCCCTGTGATTGTCACCTCGAGCGAAACAGCGGACGGTAGCCAGTGACCCCAGCAGCGTCTGCTTGACTGTAAGAGGCTGCGTCATGCTGATGAGACTGAGAAAGTTGAAGCCCGCCCAGGGGTTTGCTCAAGTCTAATGGCCCTGGAAAATATTTGTCCGTGTATCTTTTTTTATTTGAGTGGATGAATAATGTTCTCTGTGCCACATGACTCTTTCAGGAGGCTCCCTGCACTGGGATGTGTTGATAAATTCGATGAATGAGTGTTTGGCTTGCTGGTGGAGAACGAAGTGCCGGGATAAATCCCAGGCACGAGAGGGGGTAACACCGCCTCTGCACAAACGAATTCAAGAGCCCACTGTTGTTCTGTCATCTCTTGGCCGTCTCACTGCATAAAACAGAACATTATGTGCATGTGCATAACAACACACACTGTGCTACCGCACGTGCAAGAGAATAATATTGGGCACGGTATAATTCAATCCAGTGCTGCACTGCCATATCTTGCGAACCTCACCTATTATGAAATTAACGTCAAATGTCACGTGTTCCCAAAGTCCATTCGCAGATGTGGAACGTAATTGGAATACGATTCGATTTTGACCACTGCAGAGTTATTTGAGGTTGCGCTCTGTAGCTCTACGTTGTGTTTCGGGTTAGGCCACTTTTTTGTCTGGTACCAACATCTGACTATTCGCTCCGGCTCCCAGGAGCTTTTTTCACTCCTCTAAAAAAAGGTTCCCGAAGAAGATCCCAGTCACATGGAGTGAAACGTCGGACGTCGTGCCAAAGAACGCGCGGGCACAACCTGAAAGCACATCACAGGGCAATGCAATTCTACTCACGATCGATCTGAATCGCACAAAACGATGGTACAGATATCAATCTCACTCATACTCCTCCCACCTCTGTGTAACGTGGCCACACAGAGCCCCCCCCTTCTCCCACTACCCTCCCCCCCCATCAACCAACCCCCGCCTCAAATTACCGGCCTCATTAGCGGCACCACGCCAACCCCAATGCTGGGGCCGCGCGTCATTCCTAAAGCATGCGGGGCCGTCGAAAACACGCACCTGTCGATCTCATGAATCCAGCCGACG